AACTGAAATGAGATAGAAAATCGCGCAAGTGGCTGGTCAGTAGGTAGTTCCTTACGACGCATTTTGCAAGTAAGGATTTTGAGTTGAATCCCAAAATACCGAAGAAAAAGAAAGAAATCACAGGAAAGGCAATTAAGTGCACACTGGGACAGTACACCAAAAGTGCTCAATGTAACCCCTCAAAAAATCCAAAAACTTTCTCATCTTGTAGATAACTGGCCTATTTAGGCTTCCAGACCGCATGGCGGTTCGTATGCTGATATTTCACAGGAAAGCGCGTCAACTGTCCCAATGTGCCCCATCTTATGTATTCTTATGGTGTCCCAATGTGCCCCGTGCCCGGGAACATTGGGACAGGTGACACATTTCGGGGAAATCTCTCTACAGCCAAAGAGCATGAGATAAAAAATCAGGACGATATAGGCTCTGATAGGCCACATATTAATGTACAATTGTAGCCGGTAGAGGACCGACACGTCCACGGTAAATACGTCCACAGCAGTTTGGACGTAAATGAAGCGCTTTGCGAAAATACGTCCAATGATTTGGACGTAAATTAACGTCTGTGATTATTACGTCCACAGTGTGGATGTACTTACGGTCCGTCTGAGGCTGGTGAAAATACATCCACAAAATCTGGTGCTAATTGTCACCGCTGCGATTCACATCCTCAAGGAATGACCGAACGAGCAAAGCATAAACGCATGCCCGTATGCCTGTTTCCTCTTTACACTGACCACCTATAAGTCATCAACTGTTCAACACTTGTAAGTGTGCAACAGAGTTGTTGTGCTTTCGCTATTGCAAGTGTAAAGAGTTTAACAATTTTTGTTTATAGGTAAATGAAAACTACCATTGTCTCGGCCCGACTGTGTAGAGCGCGACATGAGAGGCAATGCAGAGAGCCCAAACCAGCAGTGTACCGCGCGGTAACTGTATAAAAAATCTTACAACTCTATCAACGTCCTACTCTTTGTGCGTATTTCTAGAGTTTTCAGAGTAGCACAAGCGTGACCTACAATTGAGTGTGTAGGATTTTCGCGCCACTCTCGGAACTGTCGTACTGTTGGATTTTCAGAGTGAGGGCAAAACGTCATCCGTGTGGATGTAAATGAGAGGTGACAAGTGGCAAAATATTTTGTGGAGCTATTTTCACCAGCCTTAAAAGTACATCCACACTGTGGACGTAAAAAACACATCTGTTAATTTACGTCCAAATCATTGGATGTAAATTTGTGGACGTGTTTTCACAACGCGCAAATTTTGTGGACGGATTTACTGTGGACGTGTCGGTCCCGCCCCTTGTAGCCAGTACCGGTCATTCCAACATGCATGATCTCCGACCTACAGCAAAAAGAAAAAATCCGTCCCAATCTACCCCATCTTCCCTTAAGGTCGGCTGTCGATTCCGCGTCACGGTGATTCACAGGCATCAGTGACAGTGAGGGGTTGGCAGGCGGTTGGCAGATCGGTAGGGCGCGCCGCGCTCGGCTCGAAAACTCAAAGCTCAGCTCGCGAGCCAGCGAGCCGAAATCCCCCCCCCCCCCGACCCGGCCCAGTCCGACCGTGGCGTAGCGTGGCGAGCCAAGGAGTCGCGTTTCCGGCTCAGCGAGCCCGTAGACGTATCCACCCCGGTCGGCTGGGTCTACCCTCGGCCCCGGCCCCAGCTCGGCTCGCACACCACGCTGCGGCGTGCGAGGGAGCCTATGGAGGCCGCCCGGAGAGCCCGTCAGGCGCCGCCGCAAGGCCAGGGGTGGAGCAGAGAAAGGGGAGATGGCGCTGCCTGGACCCGCCCCGCCCCCACCATCGAGCACCTGCCTGGCAGGGTCGGCTAGGCCAGGCCATAGGCAGGGGTCTCTCTGGAACGACGCCAACGCAATTCGTCTCGCAGCGCTTCCCCGGTGGCGTGGCGGGGCGTGGCGGGTCGTGCCCCCGTCCCCTCATTGTTTTACATGGCCGGGCCCAGGTGATTGAGGCCGGACGAGGCGAGGGGCTGCGCACCATCACACCCCGCAGCCGCCGCCGCGCCGCCAGGTGGCGCCACCCCCGGCAGTCACCATCAGCATCACGGCCGTGCCCAGCAGGGCCAGCCCAGCCGGGGGTTCTACACGCCCCGCCTCAACAGGTAAGGCGGCCAGGAACGTTATTAGAGCCAACCCCACCACCCGGCCAGCGGCAGCAGCAGCAGCAGCAGCTGGGTCACGTCGGTGGTATGAAGGCACGCGATCACAACCCCATTTATCGTTATCGTCAAATAACGCCCAGACGATAACGTACCCACGTCTCGAAAAAGCCGCCCCCTTCAGCTTGCCTTGAGCTCCGCGCTCACGGGCTGTCCCCGCGGGCGGCTGCGACACTTTATGCAAAATGGCGTCCGGCGGTGCCGGAAGCGCGTTAGCGACCCCCCGGCCGGATCATGTCGGTGACCACGGTTCCGCCTCACCCCGCCCCGGCCCCGCCCCGCCCCACCGCGGCCCAAACAAACACCACTCAGCTAGAGGGCACAGTCGCACACTGCGGCCGGGGCCTGGCGCTGGACGCGGCTGAGTGGCAGGTGTCGGCCCTGCCCGCTGGACGAGGCTGCTCCGAGGGCTGCTCTAGCCCTAGCCGCCCCCGGGCGCGGGGCGAGGGGCAGAACCGCACGTACACACTCGTGCCGTCTCTCTCTACCACACACACACACACACATGCCACACGTGGAGCGAGGGAGGGAGCTGCCGAAGCTGTCAGTCGCATGCAGAGGGGTAAGGGCGCAGTGGGGCGGACGCGCGCGGGGCTGCTTGAGAGGGAACGCCCCCCGACGCCCCCTCACCCCTCTTCCTGCTAGAGAACACCACGCACTCGCCCTGCTAGTGGCAGAGAGCGAGCAGGCCCCGTCCGCTGCAACATAGAACGCCCTTCATCGGAACGCCCCCGCCGCCGCCGCCCCTCCTGCTGCCCCTGGTCCGCCCCCTCTTGACCCTCCTCCTCCTCCTCGTCCACCCCAGCAGCAGCAGCAGCAGGGATTGGGGCGCGCTGCTGGTGACACACCACGCGGCTCCATCCAAGGCGACCGGGACGAGGTCCAGGATTAGCACCGCGGGGGGCGCCGGCCCCAGCTTCAGCCCGGGACACAAACTTGGCGCTGTGCTACACTGCAGAAATAAATCATCGCCATCATCGGGAGGGAGTGCGCGGGGAGAGGGGCGTCAATACGGGAAAGAGAGAGAGAGAGAGGGAGAGAGACAAATGCAAAAGGGTAAGAGCGAGAGCGGGAGAAAAGTGAGAGAAGTCTATATCCCTCTCTCTCTCTCTCTCGCACCGCAGTCGGTTCTAATTTTAAACTTGGAGTTTCAAGTGTTTAATTATTACTTTTTCGCGTCCAATCACACAGAAGGAAGAAGAACTCACCGGGGAGATAAAGTGAGAGGGATAAGAGAGGGGGGGGGGGAGAGGGAGAGGAGAAGGGGGAGGGTGGTGGTGGTGGTTCGGTGAGGTGGAGAGGGCGTAACTATTTGCGAAATTCCTTGGCTGCGCGAGACTGATTTGGGAGAGAGCAGGGGGGGCTGAGCGAAGCAGTGGGGCAGGGTGGGGGTAGGAGAGCGGGGGGTTGGACGGGGAGAGGGGGGTAGGGGGGTGCACTACCTGCTGGAAACTCATTAAACACCCGCGGCTCTGCCCGGCTGCTTCGCCCGGCTGAGCCCAGCGAGCCTCGGCCCGCCCGCCTGCCTGACGCGCGTGCAAGAGAGAATGAGGAGAACACTTTATTCTCATTACTTCTGCGACTAGCAGCTCGGCAGCAGCAGCAGCGCCAGGAGCCGCCAGCGCCCTGTCCTCGCCGCAACGCTCCGCCACGCCCCCGTCGGGAGCGTCGAGAGCGAGCCCATCCATCTGCCGAGCATAAGCCTCTCCTCCTACAACAGAGGGGGATGATCTCACCCCTCCGCGCGGCCAGGGTCACACCGTGACACGGCGTGTGGTTGCTGAAGAGGTGGGAGGGGGAGGGTGGCGTGGCGTGGCGGGAGGTTCAACGCGCATGTCGTTGTCGGCCGTGCGGTGCAGCAGGAGCGAGGTCGGCCCGGGCGGAGCGCCCGCGGACGGCAGGGTAGGCCGCGCGCCGCGCAGGGAGGCCGGCGGGGCGGCCCGCCCCCGCAGGGGACCGCGCCAACCAGCCCGACCCGACCAGGCCCACGTCCAAAGTACAACAATGTTTCCTCTTGATGCATGTTTTGTTTTCACTGGAAAAACAAAGATGCTAAAGACATCTTCAGTTTCGCACCTTTCCTTAGTGCCTTTTACAGGCATGACTCTAGAAACTTTGTTTTTCCAGTGTTTACGCATATCTTCGTGTCTTTTCAGACCAACGCGATCCATTTTGACCTTCGTATGGCCCGCGGCGAGACGCTCGCGTATGACCACTTGAGGAACGACGCAATAAGCAGAGCGAGTGCGATGATGAGAAAGAGTCCAGCAGCGAGTTGTGCTGGGGAGCGAGAGAAGAGAGAGACAGAGAGAGGAGGTCCTTGGACGCGAGACGAGAGGATCCTCCATCCGTCGAGGGGAAATAATGAAAAAGGAATAAGCGCGCGGAGGAGTTGAGCGGAGCTGGCGAGTGACTCGGGGCGGCAATAAAATCAGAGAGTTATTAAATGCAAGGGCAAGAGAGAGGAACACGGACCGATAAAAATGGACAGTAAAAATGATGAGGTAATAAGAAATCCATCCCATCG